AAAGTAATGCAGTCAAACATGTCACATATGCTGACGGGACTAGTCCCGTTAATGATACTGACGGGACTCGTGCCACGTCAGTGTCACGTAGGCAATATCATATCGTAAAATTTCAGAAGGCCATAATTTGTGACTCGGATATCCAAATCAGATAATTTTTTTTATTTCACATAATTTTTTGAGATCTACGCAATGACATTTCATTTGACATATTTTATCTCGCACAAATATAATTTAAATTTGTAACAATTGTACCACAATCATAAAAGTGTTTAAATCCAGAAGATCTTCAAACTATGTTTGTGGGAAATAAAATATGTCAAATGAGTTGTCATTGCGTAGATCTCGAAAAGTTATATGAAATCAAAAATAAAATCATCTGATTTGGATACCCGAGTCACAAGTTATGGTCTTCTAAAGTTTTACGATAACGAGACTGCCTACGTGATGCCGAAGTGGCAAGAGTACCGTCAGTGTCAGTGACGGGACTAGTCCCGTCAACATATGTGACATGTTTGACAGCATTACTTTGGAAAAACTTATCCAATCAGCTTTAACTGGACAATTCTTTTGTCCAAAAATTTTAAAATGGTACTTTTCCCTATATTTGAAGCGCGAATAATATATCGGCGAATCGCATCAAAACTTCTTCTTATAGAGTTTGAAACATGAAAATATATAAATCCAACTATTTTATGCTAAAAAAAATTTATTAAAAAATGAGAGCCGCAAACAATAAAAATAATAGATATTTTTTCATATCTTAAAAATTTAAAACCAAAACCGTACTACCGAAATTGGAGCATTGTGTTATCTTTTTCCCCTGCAATTCACCTTGGTATGTGAGTCATTTTAATGTGCAACTATAAAACCATATGGGTGTGCATAGAGCCGTCAAAATGGGCCAGCCCGGCCCGTCAGGCCCTAGCCCGCACGGATCAGGGCCAAAAAGCCCACATATTAAACAGCCCAGCTCGTTACGAAATCAACTTGACATTTCTGATAAAAAGGGAACGATTTGAGAATCTGGATCCCGAATCCCTCAGATCAAACAATTCAAATAGCAATAACAAACCAAAGCATCCAAGAAAAATAAACAAATCCAAATGAAGAAGCTCAAGACGAAAAATATCAGATGCAAAATATCCAAAAGGGAAGGGAAATTCGAAATGAAATGAAATGAAATTAGGCCGACTAAATCATCTTCTATGAAAGCAAAGGAAGAGATTGAAGACACAAAAACTGAAATTACCTTAAGAGATCTAGAACCAGAAAGCGTAGAGAGAGAAACGATACAAGAGAGAGAAAGAGAGAGGCGAAGAAATTGGAACGACATAGAGCAAACCAGAAAAAAGTGGGAATTAGGGTTTAGAAAAATACATTGGGTTGGCCCGTGGTTAACCCCATCCCAGCCCAAAAGATATGAGGCTTATTGGGGCTAGGGTAAAAAATGGCCCTATGAAATATGGGCTGAAATAAATGGGGCTGAAAAGTGGGGTTGTAGGGCTGGCCCGCGGGCTTTGACCCATTTTGACAGGTCTGGGTGTGCTCTAGTCTATTGTTTCTTTCCCTTTCCACGTTCAGGTCAATTTTGGTTTGAAGGTTCGAATTTATTCGGTATTTATGAGCCATTAGGACTTCACTTGTTATTTGGGATTTTGGAGCAAAAGTTAGTGTTCAATTTGAAAATCTTAGAAAATTGAATTATATTATATAAGGGAAAAATTTTTGTGCTTTAAAAATATATAAGTTATGACCTTTTAATTTTTTTACTGTATCTACTCTCGATAGTACATAGTTATAATATGAAAAATTATTTTTTTTCTATCTCCTCAGTCACATTAACTGACGTGAAAAGTGAAAAAAATTAACTTTTTATGTTATAACTATATACTACCGGGAGTACATAGAGTAAAAAATTAAAAGAGCATAACTTACATTCTTTAAAAGGATACACACTAAACTCATTATTTAATTGTCTATGAATGATTTCTGTATTGGGATATTTATGTTATAGAGTAATGTTGCGAAATCGGCAAGTATACCGTTCGTTTCAAGTAATAAAGTAATAAGTAGAGTATCGTTCCCACGAGGATTAATGCACCTAGTACTAGTTTAACTATTTCTCTTAAGTTGGAAATAAATTTGGGTTGAGTTGTGAAAGTAATTGATTTTGGAATTTCAAAACAGAATTTAAAAATACTTAAATTTAAAACAGAAAATTAATAACAATTAATTTTGAACGCATGCAAGAAAAGATTAAGAACGCGAGAAAATATTGATGAAAAATTTATAAAAAGGATTGAGCCAGGATGCACTTCACCTCCTATCCTCCCTTATATTCCTATATTGTATTTTATAATTTAATTAATTTGTTTATTTAGACAATTCATTATTTCCCTACAAAATAGTTGAACCCTAATATCTTAGTGATTTCAACCCTTTAACCTAATCAGAATTCTAATGTCTTAGTAATCCATCTTGAATTAAGCATTAAGCAAATGAATTATAAGTCTACAATTTATGTAAGCCTATGTCTAGATCATACACAAATTGTTATTCTACCCTTGTCCAGACTAAAATCTCAATATGTCTATTGTGAGTCTTAACCCTCAAAGCTCTATAATTTAGAGTGGCCAAATATAAACAGGATATGGAAAAATTAACACAGGTAGAATAAAACAAACTAACTAATTAACTTATAAAATATCAATACAGGAAATATAAAGGATTCGCATTGGGTCCGTGATCCCAACAACAAAAACAAACTAGCCAGACATAGCTGGCTTAAACAAATTAAAAGAATAAAAAGAATTCATAAAAGGAATAAAGAAAAAGAAGAAGATGGAAGATCAATGGTCTTCGGTCTTCAACTCCGTCGGAATCCTGATCTCCAGCGTGAGCCTCCGAGAATTCTCTCCAGCCAAAGATTCCTTATTTCTGGGGTCCGAGTCTCTATTTATAGAGTTTGAGCCCTTGTTTAGACATCTTGATCAAATCTTCATCGTATATCTTGGTCAAATCTCCTTTGATACAGTCTGAATCAAGGTTTAAAGATCACCATGCACCTCCTGCGCTACTAGCGCCAGTTCCGCGCTAATAGCGTGGGAGTTTTGTTCTTGAATCAGTTGCTTGACGCTACTAGCGTGAATCCCGCGCTGATAGTGCGATTGGAAAAATTGGCTGGCGCTACTAGCGCCAGTGCCACGCTAGTAGCATGAGAGTCTCTGGATGAAAAAGTTCATCTGGCGCTACTAGCGCCACACCCGCGCTAATAGCGTGGGGCTTCAGACTTGTGCTTCCAATTTGGGCTTCTTTCTAGTCCGTTTTCCTACAAAATTAGTAGAAAATCAATGACAAAATATCTGATTAAGATTTATCAATTTAATAACAATTTTAGCCCTTTTATCCAAGATTGATCAAGATTCTTTCTCTTTTTGGTTTAAAATCATATATATGCTGGAGGCATATCAAGTAAGAATGGAGACATCCGGTTCAACTATGCAAATTTTTGAAAGAAGACCTACTTAGTAGTCATACATACATCAAGTAACTTAAAAAAAAAATCTATTTATAGCTGTGAAGTACCGTTTGATAATTTTAATTATTTTGATCCATAGATAGTCATTTATATAGACAGTGGTAATGTCAATGCTGCTAATTATTTAGACAATATGGTTTGGATCAATGATGATATTGGTTACAAAATAGCTGTTATGTGGTTCAATTTTCTGCTGCTGGCTACGAAATTATTACTTCACATGATAAAAGTTTTTTTATAGATGCATTTTTAGTAGAAGATAAATGAGTAATATACTAATAAGACAAAAAATGCAGTGAATACATCTTAATTTTTTTTTTCTCAAGACACTTTAGATATCACTCAGCTTTTTTTATAATTTTTTTTTGGGTAAAGTCGCGCAGTTAATTATATTTAAAACTGATGGTAGTTGGGTTTTTCACCGGAACATAAGGTCCAAGGTACAGCTGGATTTTGAGTAAGTTCTAACTTATACTGAAATGTGGAATATGATAGATCATAAATACCTCCCGCCATTGTTTTTCTCTATTGTTTTGAATAGTTTCTGCAACTATTATGAAAGTCTTCCCTTGAGTCTTTCAAACTCTTCTCTACAGCCCAGATGATGTACAACTATGTAGTAGAGTGAACTCAGTAACTCATGAAGATGAAGATGCTCCTTTTTATAGACTCCTCCATCATAGAGTCTACTCAAGTGTGCACTGAAGATGAGTTCAGTTGATGGAAAACAAGAACCAAATTAATGGTTGATGATTACAGATGATTGCAGACCAGATACAAGAGTAGTTTAACCACTACAATAAGTGAGCAATAAATGGACAATGTTAGTAGACTATATACGATTCTCCATTATCAGTAGTGAACAATATAGGTGGACCACATAAGGTCACGCCATTAACCACTGGTACTTTTACTAACATTCTCCCACTTGGTCCACATATACCATCATATATTATAGCGAGAAACAAAATACATGAATCATGACGATAAGTCCTCTTATTTGTGCGAGTATTATCTTCCATGTATTACACTGTATTATATTTCTCAAGCCCATATAACTTAATGAATAAACCCAATGTTCATTCTAAGTCCAAACTTTGTGCATAAACTGAATGAGAAACATCATAGATAGAGTTTCATTAATACAATATCATTCTTACAATGAAAATCACATATGAGAACCAAGTCCCATCTTCTCTACATGATCCTTAAATTTAACTGGTGGCATACCTTTAGTTAAAGGATCAACAATCATTAATTCAGTGCTAATCTGTTCAATAACCATTGATTTATCTTTAACACGTTCTGTTATGGCTAGATATATAATGTCAATATGCTTGCTTCGACTACCACTTTTGTTATTCTTAGCCATAAAAACAGCAGCTGAATTATCACAATATATCTTTAATGACCTAGAAATAGAGTCCATAACTCTAAGACCAGAAATGAAACTCCTCATCTATACACCATGTGAGGTAGCCTCAATACAAGAAACGAACTCAGCCTCCATAGTGGAAGTAGCAGTCAAGGTCTGCTTGACACTTCTCCAAGACACAGCTCCACTGGCTAGCATGAAAATATATCCTGAAGTGGATTTTCTGGAATCAATGCAACCAGCGTAGTCTGAATTTGAGTACCCAATTACTTCCAAGTTGTCAATCCATCTAAACATAAGCATGTAGTTCTTAGTCCCTTGAAGACATCTCATCACTTTCTTTGCAGCTTTCCAATGGTCTAAGCCTGGATTACTTTGATGTCTTCCTAATACTCCAACCGCAAAAGCAATGTCAGGTTTTGCGCAGACTTGAGCATACATTAGGCTTCCAACAACTGAAGCATAAGAAATGTTCTTCATTTGTTCCGCTCAAGATCATTTTTCGGGCACTGGTTTAAATCAAACTTGTCACCCTTCACAATAGGAGCTATACTTGGTGAACAATCACTTATTCTAAATCTTTCCAAAACTTTGTTGATATAGGTCTCTTGAGACAAACCAAGAACACCCTTTATTCTGTCTCTATCTATCTTGATGCCAATAACATAAGAAGCATCACCCATATTTTTCATATCAAAGTTTTTAGAGAGAAATTGTCTCACCTCATATAGTAAACCCTTATCATTGGTTGCAAGTAAAATATCATCCACATACAGAATAAGGAAACAAATTTTGCTCCCACTGACCTTCTAGTATATACATTGATCCATGATGTTCTCTACAAAACCAAATGAAGAGATAACATCATAAAATTTCAAATACCATTGACGGTTGCTTGTTTCAATCTATATATAGATTTCTTAAGCTTGCAAACCAATTGCTCACCATCACTAGAGGAGAATCCTTCAGGTTGTTTCATATAAACCTCTTCCTCTAGATCTCCATTGAGAAAAGCTGTTTTCACATCCATTTGTTGCAACTCTAAGTCAAAATGTGCAACTAATGCTAGAATGAAACGAAGAAAATCTTTCTTAGATACAGGAGAAAATGTCTCCTTGTAGTCGATTCCTTCCTTCTGATTAAATCCCTTGGCTACGAGTCTTGCTTTATATCTCTCAATGTTGCCTAATGAGTCTTTCTTAATTTTGAAGACCCATTTACATCCAATGGCTTTTGCACCATTAGGCAACTGAACAAGGTCCCAAACTCCATTAGTTGCCATAGAATTCAATTCATCTTTCATAGCATTATACCAAAATTCTGATTCTTTACAATTCATGGCTTGTGAAAATGTTTCACGATCATTTTCGACTCCAATATTATAGTCAGCTTCTTGTAAATACACTACAAAGTTACTAGGTATCGCTAATTTTCTTATTCTGATAGATCTTCTTAAAGTTGTTCCGTTGTCTTCTTGAGGAACTTGTTGTTCAACAGGTTGATCAACAATTTCTACTCGTTCCTCATGAACAACTTGATCTACTAGATTATTAGCAGGTTGTGGACATTAAATGACTGGTTGTATAACACCTAATTGATCTGAAGGGGTATTAACAACCAATCTGAAACTTAAAGTGGATGGTTGAGCAACTGAATGATTTTTCTCAGAAACAAAGTCTCTGGATTGATTGCTCCCACTAATCAAGTCATTCTCAAGAAATTTATCATTTCTTGATTCCACAATCCTTGTACTATGAGATGGACAATAAAATCTATATCTCTTAGACCTTTCGGCATATCCAATGAAATACCCACTAATGGTCCTTGGGTCAAGCTTCTTTTCTTATGGGTTATAGATTCAGACTTCAGACGGGCATCCCAAACGCGTACATGTTGCAAACTCGGTTTCCAACCTTTAAATAACTCAAACGGTGTCTTTGGGACAACCTTAGTTGGAACTCGATTTAATATATACACTTTCGTCTTAAGTGCTTCAATCCACAAGGACTTAGGAAGCTTAGAGCAACTGAGCATACTTCGCACCATATCCATTAATGTTCGATTTCTTCTTTATGCTACACCATTCTGGTCTGGAGAACCAGGCATAGTGTATTGGGAAACTATCCCATGCTCTTCAAGAAACTTCACAAACGGACCAGGTGCTTGTCCATCTTCAGTCTATATACCATAATATTCTCCACCTCTATATGATCTCACGATTTTAATTTGCTTACCGCATTGTTTCTCTACTTCTAATTTAAATACCTTAAAGGCATTTAATGCTTCATACTTATTATTAAGCATGTAAAGATACATGTATCGTGAATAATCATCTATGAAATAGATGAAGTATTTCTGACCATATGTGTCCATGTCTGGACAACAAATATCTGTATGTATGATTTCTAACAATTTAGTACTCCTCTTGGAACCTTTTTTAGACTTGTTTGTTTGCTTTCCTTTAATGCAATCTATACAAGTTTCAAAATCAGCAAAATCTAAAGTACTAAGTGCTCCATCATTTACTAATCTTTTAATTCTCTGAATGGAGATATGTCCCAATCTCCGATGCCATAACATAGAGGAATCCTCATTCATAACACATCGTTTCATGCCAACTTTAACATGCATAGCATCATGAGTGGTGTCATTTTGCAAATTAATACAGAAAAGACCATCAGACAATGTACCATTCCCAACAACCTTAGATTTATAAAACAAACTGAAAGATGTTTCATAAAAAGAAAAGGAATATTCATAAGGTACAAGTCTTGAAACTGAAATTAAGTTCTTAGAAAAACTAAGAACATAAAAAGTCATTTGCAAATTCAAAATAAAACCACTATTGAAAATTCCCAATAGATCCAAGATATTTTTGGCTTAATGAGCATCACACAGAGCCGGTTGGATCTTTCCCATTTTTCATATAGATCCACCTCATCTGGCTCACTGTTCTCTGTAATTGCTGGTGGTTCAGCTTTCCTGATAGCATAATCAATATCCATATACCCTAATGTCAATAAAATTCTTTCCTTCCAAATTGGGTAATCATCTCCTTTCAATTCGGGAATTTCAATAGAATTTATAGGTTGTATATCTGCAAAATATGTAACATAAATGCTTATAATTAAAATTTGAGGCAAATAATATATCATGCTTTACCAATGTAAATCATGCTCAAATAATTATGAATTTAGTGACATAAAATTTGCCTATGGGCTAAAATTTTAATTCAATTAAATTCATATAAAACATAATAAAACTACCAAATTATATTTTTCTGATCCCTGTGGGTAAATCAAATAAATATAATTTCATATTTTATCCTAATTAATCATACAAAAAATATAATAGAAATTTCTGTGGGATGATATCTATTATATTATATATGACTAATTATAATTAATATTTTTTACTTTATGTGATCTAGAGGCTCTTAATATATAATTTAAATAATTAAAGTTGTTGTAGCTAAACTTTAATTAATTAAATTATATAGATCACTAAATATTCTTTATTATATTATTAAAATTAATCATGAGCAATAATATTAAATAACAAAATATTCACATTAATCATCTTAATATTACATGTATTAAGTGACTTAAATTAATACATGTAATGACAGATTAACAAATATTCATGTGAATATTTGACATGGAGTTATTATTAGGTTAGTTGGCAAAAGATTATCTATCCAACTAGGTGGTCGTGGGTTCAATACCCTATGATGCCCGGACACGGACACGGACACGGGTCACGGGACACGACACGACACGCCGACACGTTAATTCTAAAAAATGTCATATTTTGACACGTTGGGACACGTTTTGATATTAAATAAATTTTTTATTATATATAATATAATTTATATTTAATATATATAAGAGTCCATAATATAATTTATATTTAATATATATAAGAGTCCATAATAAGTCATATAACCAATCAAATATTTAAATTTCATAACATAAATATAAATATAAGTAATTTTTCGTATTTTGTTAATTTTTAATGTCAAATTTCATAACGGAAAAAAATTAATTTATAAATTATTTCTTTTATATTTAGTTAACAAAATAAAATTAAGATTTAAAAAAAAAATGTGTCTAAACATGTCCCCAAATGTTGACCACGTGTCCGAGCCTGTCGGAGCATGTCTATGTCGAACACGTGTCCGACACGCAAATTTTAAAAAAAATTGCATGTCTAGTGCATATGAGTCAATTCCCATATCGTGCACCTTTTTGCAATAAAGGTCCAATTAATGTAATGGTAAACATGCAGTCCACGGATAGCCCAAATCGGTAAAAAAAATTAAAGCCCATTATTTACGCTGGCAGTAATAAATAGATAATATGTTAAAGTGTTAAATCTATGTGCAGTGGTTCAAGCGGTCAGTTGCTATATTACCACACCACACGGTGGAGTGTTCAAATCCTACCTGCTCAGCTCAGTAAACAAACCATAAAAAAAATAACATTTAATTACTTATCAGGGAAGAGTAGTGATATTAAACAAGTGAAACTTCACACTTTAAGAAACAATTCACTCAACTTCAACCAGTGTCATCGCTTTTATTTTTCGAAGTTCAAACTGATTTCACGGAAAGAAGCAAACATGCAACAGCTAGTCAAATTAAACAAATCTGAAATCCACCAGCGTCATCGCTTTTATTTTTCGAATTTCAAACTGATTTCACGGAAAAAAATTGAAGCAAACATGCAACAGCTAGTCAAATTAAACAAATTTGAAATCCAAATGATCCAAATGAAACGCAACAAAATAAGTGCAGGGAAAGCTCAGCCAGTCAAATTAAACAAATTTGAAATCCAAATGATCCAAATGACACGCAACAAAATAAGTGCAGGGAAAGCTCAGCAAACAACCCATCAAAAAAATAATATTTAAGAAACAATAATCATGGAAGAGTAGTGATATTAAACAAGTGAAACTTCACGCTTTAAGAAACAATTCACTCAACGTCAACCAGTGTCATCTTCAACCTCCTCTAGCCGGTTCTCCACCAAATAAAAGACCCAATGATTTTCCATTCATTTTTGCACAAAAAATTCATAATTTTTACCCAAATATATCAGAAATCTTTTATCCCATATGATTTCCAACTTTACTTTCATTATAAGGCACTCAAACCGTGATTTTAGAAAATAAAAATATTGCAGAGACAATCACACAAAGCAAAGCAGAGATCTCGTACATGCTCTGATACCAAATGTAAGTTCTAACTTATACTGAAATGCAGAATATGATAGTTCATAAATACCTTCCGTCATTGCTTTTCTCTACTATTTTGAATAGTTTCTGCAACTGATACGAAAGTCTTCCCTTGAGTCGTCCAAACTCTTCTCTACAGTCCAGATGGTGGACAACTAACTATGTAGTAGAGTGAGCTCAGTAACTCATGAAGCTGAAGATGCATCCTTTTTATAGACTCCTCCATCATAGAGTCTCTTCAAGTG